ATTTTACATGTTAGTTATTTTTATTTCTAGTGTTATAAGTAATAAATAGTGAAGGATATGGGTTGTTCCAGTTTTAGGGAAATGCGAAGATTAGCTCAGGATAGGAGAGTGGGGGTGCGTGTCCAGCCAGTCTTAGGAGTGACGACCTTATGATAATGATGATGATGATGTTATATAAGTAATGTTTTAACGTTCCTTTCATTATTTTATGTACAAAAACAAGAGCATTGTCTTTAATTAACCTACTTACACTAATCCAGCCTATGTTATACAGCATTTCTTTAATCGGCGTAAATTTCTTTTATTGTGATTATTACAATCCGATAGTGATGTTCGACCTCGAAGCTTACCTGTTGGTATATATAGTGGTTCTAAGAGTAAAATCGCGTGTCCAACTTGCTTTCAAATGAAATAATATCACTGTAAATCTAAATGAATTAATAAATGTGTTATTTCAATTCGTTTAAACGTGTTATTAAAATAAATTTGAATGTGGTAATAGGTTTAATGAATACATCTAAATAGATATTTATATACTGCAAGTTGTAATGAGTTTCTTTAATTGTATATTTTAACATATTTTTAACGAATCCAATAAATCATGCATATTACATATTTAAAAATAACTTCATCTCTCATTTTTTAAAATTAGTTTAAATATTATTGTCTAGAATAGACATTTTTGCAAGAGTTTCCAAGTATTTCTAGGTACCTGTAGTAAATATTTTTTTAAAGTAAGGGGGGATAATATTTTAAAAAGTTAATATATAATTGTTGCTATTTAAGAATATCTACCATATACATATAAATGCACAATATTTATGAAGAAGCATAGTCCAGAATGTAAGTTCTTTGTAGTAATAAACATTATATACCTTTATCTAGGTAATAAAATAATTTCTCAATCTATATGGGTATATATACTTTTTTGCTATTCACTTGAAGTAACTTGCATTTGTAATATTTGAACCTCTAAAAATCCGTCTTACATATATATTATCATAGATGGTCTTTTTGTTATTAGGACTTTAGGTTACGCGGGGATGATTTTCGGTTGGAATCATTTTATGTTTTAAGTACATATTAAGTACATTTGTCGTTTATAGACGTAAAGTATAAGAAAAAAAAATAAAGAAATGCTGATCATGCGGATAGCCGTGCCGCTGGTCCTTTCTTTCTGATATTGTAAGACGTTTGGTAATTAAATAAATATAACTACGTGAATCAAATAATTAAACCTCGATACATACAGTTTAGTGTTTAATTAAAGTTTTGTTTTTAACCCACTACGTACAATTGTCATTCTTTGAATCCATATCGCTAGACCAACGATAAACAAATCTACATATATATAGATACCTGTTCTACGAGGGTGGATTGATAAGTTTCCGGCCTGACCAAGAAAAACAAGGTTTTTAAAAATTTTTTTTTTTTATTTCTCAACATAATCTCCTCCAAGGCTGATACATTTCTCATAGCGGTGTTCTAGTCTATTAATGCCATCTCTATAGACTGATTCGTCAAGCTCCTCAAAATAACCATTTACAGCTTCGATTACTTCTTCATTGTCCGCAAATCTCTTACCGCCAAGCCATTTTTTGAGATTAGGGAACAGAAAATAGTCACTCGGGGCTAGGTCTGGAGAGTAAGGAGGGTGCGGCATCAATTCAAACTTTAGATCGTTGATTTTAGCCGTCGCAACGATTGACGTGTGCGCTGGTGCGTTATCGTGATGAAACAAGATTTTTTTCTTCGCCAGATGAGGTCGTTTAATTTTCACCTCGTGGCTCAAACGTTGCAATAAGTCTGCGTAGTATTGACCAGTGATAGTATTACCCTTTGCAAGGTAATCAATGTATATAATACCTCTTGCATCCCAAAAAACAGTAGCCATAACCTTGTTCGCCGAAAAAATTGTTTTTGCCTTCTTTGGAGTTGGTTCCCCTGGTCCAATCCACTGTTTAGACTGTTCTTTGGTTTCAGGAGTGTAGTGGTGGACCCACGTTTCGTCAACGGTTACGAATCGACGCAAAAATTCGCTTGGATTACGCTTATACAATGACAAATTTGCGGTAGAAATGTTTTTTCGAATCAATTTTTGGTCGACTGTTAGCAAACGCGGCACCCATCTTGCACAGAGCTTTTCCATATGCAAATGTTGGTGCAAAATATGTTGCACACGTTCATATGACATCTTACAGGTCTCAGCTATCTCACGCACTTTCAATCTGCGGTCTCCCAGCACTATTTGATGAATTTTTTCGATCATATCTGGAGTTGTGACCTCAACGGGGCGTCCTGAGCGAGGCCCATCAGAGGTGCTCACACGACCCTTTTTAAACTCGGAAACCCACTGCTTAACGGTTGAATATGACGGGGAGGATGTCCCCAGTGTTGAGTCCATCTCTTTTTTAATTTCCTTCGGCGTTAACCCCTTCAAATAAAAGTATTTGATGACAGCACGATTTTCCTGCTTTTCCATTTTTACGAAAACCACAGAGGCGTCTTGTTCAGCGTGCTGTCAAACCTACACTAGCAAGGAGATCGGGCTGAAACTATAGCTACAAGCTATCCAAGGATGGTACTATAGAATGTCACCTCAAGGTAGGCCTAGTGGCGTCATCTCTTGGTTAGGCCGGAAACTTATCAATCCACCCTCGTATTTCAATACGTACTCTGTATTGGATTAATACATTTAGATGCATTAAAAAACTACATGTAAGTGAATTAGAAAAAAACACGTTATGTAACGCAGAAAAAGTGACTACAAGATTTTAATACACTAAAATTCATTGAAATAATACATTTAGATTTGCAGAGATACTATGGACACTATACTCCGTTCTCTTATGAGGTAAACCAAATCAAAAAATAAACCTGGACGCGTGATGACCGATCAGCACGTCGTCAGAGCGCTTCTTATTGGTGAATTTGGGGGTTGTGGCTCACGCTCACGGCTATTGCGAATTTCCAGAGAGTCATTCAATCATTTAGTGAAAGATGGCATTTCGCAATTTTCAAACATGCTATAGTTTATAAAAAATTCTTAAAATTAATTCAGAAAAGTAAAATATTCATTTGTTAGATAACAGTAAATTCGTTTTCTTTCCATATGTACCGTCCCGCGAAGTAATAAAATAAAAGTAATTAACGCATTAGAATCCAACAACACTAATAATAACAGATTATTATCATCTAATTTCTCTAGTAACTCTTTGTTTTGACCAAATCTATTTCTAATTTTGTAACTAAACTTCTTTATTCACGAATAAATACAATAAAGTTATTAAACATAGGAGCGAGGAAAATCCGACAGTGACCACAAATGAAGTTTTAAAGGTGGCAAGTAAAGCTTGGATATGTCGTGCTTCATTTTTCAATATAATAGGCGAATACAAAAGAAAGGACAGTCTCTTAACCAAAGGGCAACATAAGTCGAAAACGCATTGTTAAGTGTGTGGATGGAGCTGATAAATATGTACGCAATTAGAAGAAAAGTGCACGAATTTTTGAGAAATTAAATTTCCACCATCCGGAAAATATTGAAGGAAGTAAATGAAGACCCCATGTTATTAAATTTTAAACAGACTGATTTTTTAAAGTGTTTGAGGACATAAATTTTAAATGGGAAAAGCGAGGGCGGAATAGCTTATTGACAGATAAGGAAGAAATTGTGCTGTGGAGAAGCGAATATGTCACAAAAATAAACACCTACAGAGAGCATAATAGAAAAATCTTCTATCTAGATGAAACATGGGTTAATTCAGGGCACACAACTTCTCGCATGTGGGTTGATAAAACTATTACTTCACCCAGAAAAGACTTTTTCGACGGACTATCTCCCGGATTGAAAAATCCCACAGGTAAACAAAACAAGAGTGGAATACTTACTTCTTAGATACTAATTCTGTAGCTTATATATATATATATTTCTTTTATTGTTTGAACATCGTAAAATGTGGCTGTTTTAGAAAAAGGAAATCCGCTTATCGTCTGCCATTTTGGAAATGAAGATGTTTTTGTTGCTAATGGTGCTTCTAGTCACAGGAAATAAGCAGTTATGACGAAGAAATGAATGAGGAATCATTAGAAAAATGATTTTCCAGCATTTTATATCGCTTGGATGGTACTGTAGTAATTGTCCTCGATAATGCACCTTACCATTCTTGAAGAATGGAGAAAATACCAATCACTGCTACAAAAAATGGTGAAGTACAAAACTGGCTGCGATCTAAAAATATCCAATTTCAGGAGTTATCCTGAGGTCAAATACTAAAAGTATGTTATTGACGAAATGGCTGCGAGTTAAAATAAAATTGTGCTTCGTTTGCCTCCGTACCATTGCGAACTGAATCCAATTGAGTTAATATTAATCATAAATAATAAAATTTGGTCATAGCGCAATAAGAATTTTAAAGTTTCAAATATTAAAGAACATTTTGATGAAGGTTTACAAGGAATTACCGCAGAGAAATGGAAAAGTCTGTTGAACATGTAAAAGAACAGGGTTTAAAAGAAACTAAGGGAGTTAGCTAATATTATAGAACTTCAAATTATTCATACTGATGTTGACAGTGATAATACGGACTATACAAGTACCTCTACTTCATCATAGTAATGACAACTATAAATAATACGCAACATTAGCTACATACTTCATATATTTCTATTGTAATATTGTAATTAAGGTATTGTAAAGCTATGGTATTTCTTGTTGTACTAAATTATTAGGCCAATAAGAATATTAAAATAACCATGTAATATATATCTCAAGCTTATATAACCGAATTAACCCCAACCTTCGACACGTTATATTGTACAGTCAGAACAATTATATATATACCCATATATATATATATAGGCCGTAACAAGATTTGTGAGTTAGACTATTTGAAGAAACTTTAATATATTCTTTTCTTGGAGCAAAATATTTTAAGTATTTAAAATTTTCGGTTTGCTTCACAAGATTTTAACACTAAATATAAAAAGAGAAACTTTACCACTGTTAGAAGAAAGGGATCCAGAAGAATGTCCTCGGAGTAAGTATTCTTTCCTAATGTCTGGATAACATATTTCTGAAAGAAAAAAAATTATTTTACTTTTTTTAATTACCTTGTAATATTTTTTTTTACTAAAAGGTCAATTTATGCATTAGAGGAAGGGTAATTTCGAGAGTTTTCATAACTCTCACTATCGACATTTTCTTTAAAACTTATGACAAACTCGTATATGACAGAAAATATCAGCATTTAAGACAATTATTATGTCGATAAATAAAACAATTTGTGCTTAGAAGAATTACAGTGGATTTCGGGTATAACGACGACGAAAGAACCACTGTAATTTCGTCGCTATATCCTGAAGTCGTTACAGCCAAAGAGATACAGACACGTATGTAAAGTTTTCAAAATTTTCCAATTTTGAAACGATTTAGGCTTTTTCTTAACAGTAAATGTGCATGTAGGAGTCATACTTATCTAAACACAGTTGCTACTCAAAATATGATTTTGTAACTGAACCATTTTAACTAACATCTATAAATAAAAGATTAAGGTCACCGTACTTGCTGACCATCTGTGTGGATGTAAACAAAAGATAAGAAAGATTTTTGTGTCTTTGGCGGCCGACTACGGAAAAACAGTCAGTACACCCGAACTCTGCGTTACATCCGAAGTCGCTATAGCCACATGAATTTTATGCTAAAGTTTGCTTTAAATTCAAGGGACTTAGATTTAACGTCGCTATAGCAAAATGGTCGCTACAACCAAGGTCGTAATAAATAAAATCTACTGTACTAAAAATACGTATCAGATTAAATGAGCAAAACTAGGACTTAGCATGCAATACCAAGATCAAGATTATCAGCAAGACCAAGATTAAAACAAAAACTAGAAGTATTTGAGCAAGAACAAGACCATGACCAAATAAGCAAGACCAAGACCAACATCAAGGCTAAGATAGTCTTGGTCTTACTTTGTTCATCATTAAAGTCAACTTTTCAAGAAAATCACATTTGAAGTTCTACTAAGCTTCAACCATAATTTTTTTTGGTTTATGGTATACTGTTACATAGCACCCATAAATTCTTATTTAGGTCAGTGGTACAACATTGGTACATCCAAATTGTCTATTTAAAATTGCATCTACTTATCTACTGTGTTAATAGGTCAATTAACAAACTATTAACTATCAGAATAAATAATGATATTGAAAAGGCCTAAAGTAGAGTCGAATCCAAGATCACCAAGATGCAGGATGGTGAGACGGCTTACCGTCTTCACTCAATCTGTGATAGTTCCCTGCCATTTCTATGTTCCCCAATTATCTACTAAGGTAGACTAAAATTATTATTAAATTCTTAATTAACTATAGTCAAATTGTTGGCTAGTCATTCTAAATTATACAATTCACTTTCAATATTAGATTAAAGTAATTATAACCAATTTCTAAATACATAAAATTTGCTGCTTTATGACAATACACAGTTATTACAACGATTATTTATCGTTAATTGTTAGTTGACTTTTTAAGAACAACGTAAAAGAAACATAGAACCTTGAATTGTAAACCTAATTATTTTATTTAAACGATTTATAACCATCATAAATTGTTTTCAATTGAAATATATTGTCCTTTATTACATTTTCATCGGATTTGCATGGACACGAGGCCAAAAAAAAGCTTTCAGAGTAACGTATTAAAGTTTCGCACCATTTATAGCCTAGATAATGTATAACTGGTGGGATACTCAATCAGTTATCTCTCTTGATGAGGTACTCTAAATATGTAGAAATTCTTAATACGAAAGTTATTAACCCTAAAGAGGAACACGTAATAGTGACCTCTAAGATGACCTTAATAATTATTTCCTTTGTCATTTTCAGATCAAGTGCATTTTTGAAATGACGTTGGAGATAATTATTAATTATATTATAAGATCTAGGTAGAGATTATCAATAACTTTAGACCTAATACCTTTTGTACATTTTTATTGTAGAAATAATCCGTTGTACATAAATCCTATCAAGTAATTATCAATACATCATTATACTGACTGAAAATCGTTCGCTACTTGATCCTTAGCTCAAAAACTTTTAATTTTTGACATTTTTTCCTTAAGAACTTTTATTAAGAAAATCATATCGAACATCATACTCCAATTGCAGACCATTCTTATCCTGCCTTGAGATTAAAACATCATTTAATTACAATTCATGTTGATAATCATGAGTCAACAGCAACTCTGTTCTTGAACTGTGTAAATTTATGTCGTTACAAACGTTTCTGGAAAGCACATGCGTAGAGACAAATTCAGACTAAAAGGCTCTATTGATGTTCATGTGTTCTATTGTTTATTATTCTTTTTTAAACTTCTCTGGAATACTATTTACGTATACGAGAGTATCCAGGAGTAAAGTCAGGAATGCTGGTGACAATCCATATTTTCGTATTTAATAAATGAGAACATGAACAAAATATTTGATTGTGCACGTTGGTCTAAAGTTAGTTGCAATATTAGCGTTAAAGAATATTGCATTTGCGATTTACCGTACTCGCTGCATGTCCAAAGTTTTAATTAAACGATTCTGCCCTACAAGCTTACCCTTTTATGAGCACATTATTTGTGTAGTGGCCAAAAAACAACACAAAAGGAAGGATTGTAGGATATGCGAAAGAGTCGGAAACAAATAACTTTAATTACTCTCCTTGCCAGCAGATTTACTATACACTATTTAAAGCTATTTAATCCTTTTATAAATACTAAAAATATTCGAATTAAAGTTCCGTTTCTCAGAATCATTATTTATCGTATAATTAATTATTGTACGCACCTATCGAACTGTAAATTAATGCAAATCGCGTCAAATGATATTTGTTAATTGAATTTACGAAAAACTGTTAAGTAAAATTAATACAATCAAGATGCAAATCAAAAAGTGAAAATGCGACTGAAGATTTGGGTGCAAATGGTTAATTAATTCAAATGAAAGCTCTTAAAGACGAACGGAAGCAGAACTTTAGACAAAAGAAAGCAATTAAAAGCGAGTTTGACATTTTCCTAACTGTTAAAGCATTTACTACAAAAGCTTTAGAATATGGCTTTAATTTAAAGGTCATTTGCAACTACTAAAAAATTATGACCGAGCTCCGCTCATGGGATATAATGCACATGGATATGATGTACGTACGATACGATACGTTATGTACTATTATCTATTAAAATAATGCTTACCCTAATTACGCTTATCTAGATTGATTTATCACCTTACTGAAATAGCCAAAGCTGTTATATACCTACAGGATCATAAGTCCTTGTTTACTGGAAGTACATATTTTTGACTACATCAGTGGAAAGAGCGGACAATTTTGTAATCGTAAGCCCTCTTCGAATTGATTTGTTCTTAATTTCTTATAAATACCATACCTAAAAATTGAGAGCAAATCTGCTTCCAGGTTATTTTTCGCTATATCCATTGCCGTGGTAAAGGATATATATAATCTAATTTAAAAAAATGTTTGACCTTTAAAGAACCTTGAAGGTCAATGATTATTTTAGACTCAAGGGCAGCAGAACATGAAACTTTTGACTAATACGTTCTCCGAAGTAATGGTATGCAATCGAGATATTTCAGATATTTCATTGTTATAAGCAAACGGACTATAAAATGAAGTCTATATCAACTTCACCAGTATTTTAGATTTTTCCTTGCATTGCTGGATTCAAATATATAGATTCTCATTAAAAATAGAAGTAACTTGATTTGCAAGTAACCCAAAAGGTTAATCGAAGGTCACATTCAAGGTCACCTTCCGACATACAACTTTTATCTGGAATTATTTCCCAAATAATGAGTTGCAATTGATATGTCTCATTGTTTTGAGATAAATGACACCCTATAAGTATATGTACATATTTTTATATCTTAACTCGAAATAACACAAAAACCATTGCATGTGGTCTATGACGTCACTA